TAAATCATCCTACATTATCTTTTAATATGTAGAACAACCATAGTCCAAGGAATACACAAGTGGATATGAGAGCTATGTATAAATGGAGACTTCTCATCATCCCTAAATCCTGAATATATTCCTAATCATAGAAATATTGATTGGGCGTCAATATTCCGCAAAGACCAGTACACACAGTATCGTCTCTATATGTAGGGAATGGCAAGGTCTTAAGCTATTAAGTGTGGAGACACATCGATATGTCTGTAGGTGCTTGTAGAACACCAAGTACACTGAACCTGATCCAACACATGAGGCATGGAAGTCTTTACTCCCATCAAGCTGGAACTCATAAATTGCAATGGTGCAAACTAATCTTTAGACCTGAGGCATCACTGATGTTTTATGGCTATGTCGTTAATCTTTCAGGGCACTATACAGTCATGTTGAATTAGGCATAACTTAAAGGTGCTCATCAGGATTCTCAATAGAGTCATGAAAGCAAATGAATGTACAACAAGGAATCTCTACTCTTAGTAAAGGAGAGAGAATACTCCAAGATATGATTGGTCAAATATTTGCGCAGAGTAGTGGATAAGACTTGAAAGAAGAAGTCTTTAAGTCTTACCAGGATAATCATATAAAAGGAATTATTCACATTAGAATATTGACAATCGGATTCCATGATCTAATAATGTGAATAAGGAGTATTGACATAAGAGAAGGATTCAATTGCACGGTCATTCCAATTTGAATAGGTTCTTTCACAAAGTCTCATTTAGCTCGGATAACCGTGACTTGCTGCAAGGTGACAACCATGGTTTGTGGATGTCCTAAAAGGTTTCAATTAACCTTCATTAATAGGAAGAATTAAATTGTTGAATTTAATTCGTATATCATCTCTGAGGAGTTAAGTCAACCCACTACCTTGCTAAAGGGAACCTACGGATTTGCACATCCAAAGAATGTGATTAGAGGTACAAATGAGGAGAAATGAAATGAGGAGACACAAGTTAAAGGTTGATACTCATATGTCAAAGTCAATGGTCAAAAGTCAAAGGCAATTGACCAAAGTCAAATAGTTCGACTGGGTCAAATAGCGTAAGACTATAATTATAGTTTAATAGTTAAATTATAATTAAAAGATTAATTATGGAATTAATATTGACATATATAAATATTGGATTGGACTTTTTAAATATTATTTAAAAGGAAAGGGACAAAATAGTCCAAAAGGCTATTGGGCCCAAGGGATAAAGTAGCATAAGATGACATGACCCATGGAGCAAATGGAGCCCCAAATACCCACCCAGAATTCAGCACCTAAGGGGAAGCTCTCCCCTTGCCTTTTTGTGTTGTCCTATATAAGCTAAGTGTTGGAGAAAACCTAGCTAGGGTTTTTGGTTTCCTACTTTGGTTGATGAGTGATCATCTTTGTATCTCATCTTCCATAAACCAAAAATTGGTCAAATCAAGAAAGTAGACTAGCATCCACACTTCTTGATTGCCTTATCTTCATCTCTAGGAGCATTTAGTGTGGTGATGTAGATGACTTCAATCTTGGAGCCTTAAGGTGAAGGAGTCAAAATCAAGAGAAAGAAAAGGCATTTCCAACAAAGGTGTTCATTCTTGAGAAATCAAGAAAGGTCATCAAGGGTAAAGATCTATTCCCTTTTTATTTTTTCTTTTTGTGTTCAAAGAGACTAGGCTAAGATACTTGGTTTAAAATGAAAGAGATTTAGCTCAACTAATATAAAAAAAATGAATTTGCCATTTATAATGATTTTGTTGTATAGGTTGTGGCTAAAGTTCATTTCCCAAGCATTGGATGAATGTTTCCTTCAAGACTGTGCATGCTGAAGTTTAGGAATTTTAAATTGTGTTTTGACAAGTTGAAAAATTTGGTTAAGTCCGTTTTTCAAGGGAGATTCTGCTGAAATTTCGGTAGACGTCTCGGTCCTCCTTTCCCTTGTTTTTAAGGGAAGATGATGTTTGAAATTAGTAAGTGGGTCCAACATTGGTTGGATGTCGGAAAAATCACAGGATCCGTCTCGAATTCCGAGGAATTCGGGGTTGGTCCTGTCAGAAATATTAAATTGTGATTTTTTTCAGGGGAGACTCTGCCGGTTTTCCCGTAGAAGTCAAACCCTAAAGCAGTTTTTGGATTAGGGCAAGAAGGGGTATTTTGGACAATTATGCCGATAACTTTCAAGTGTTGGACATGCACAGGGTTCGACACGGATTCCAAAGTGGCTCCATATCTGGGCTTGCGCTTGTATGGCATTGGGATTAGGGGTGGCAATTTCGGACATGACCCGATACACGACTCGAAACCCGCACGAGAAATTAGCGGGTTCAACCCGCACGATAAAAAAACAGGTCAATTTCGGGTCAACCCACTATAACCCGTTTATTAAACGGGTGGGTTTCGGGTCAACCCGCTAACCCGTTATAATACATGATTAACTCGTTTATTTAAACGGGTCGTGTCACGGGTCATGTCAACCCGTATAATACACGCCAACCCGCGAAAAAATAAGCATAAATAGAGACTTCATCACACACACAAGGGGTTTCGAACCCCTACCACCCTCATTACTCTCCAACACCTTATCCACCATGCTACATACAACTTTGTGATTATATACTATGACTTTTGATATTTATAATGTTTCTTTTTCCTTCTTTTCCTTCTATCTTCTCCTCTTGTTTTTTATTTAAATTTTTTCAATTGTGAGTTTTGTAACATGCATGTTACTATTTATGAACCCGTTACACGACTCGAAACCCGCACGATAAAAGACGACCCGAACCCGACACGACACGTTTATTAAATGGGTTGGGTTCGGGTTGAACATTCTTGACACGTTTATTATCCCGACACGACATGACACGACACGAACCCGACACGACACGACCCATTGCCAGCCCTAATTGGGATCATGTACATTCTTTGTAGGAAAAAAAACCTCAATAAAAATGGGAGACCTCCTCGATTTAGATTGAATTTATAAGTCTTTGTTTCACAATTCAATATATCTTTTTTGATCATTTTATATTATGGTAAATTAGTAATTCAATAAATAGTTTGGTAGCAAGGTGTACTAAGTTAATTTTAAAGTTCATTTAACAGCACCCTTTTTTTATTTCTTGAGAATAAGAATTGTGAACTTAAACAAACATATATATTTCATATCATTCCTTTCCCTTCAATAATCCATATTTCAATAATTAAAAAGAACACTTTCTTCATTTCCTTATCTTGAAGAATATAAAGTCTCACATCGGAAACTTGACAAAATAAGTACAATATATAATGAGTGGTGCATTTTGTGATAAAATCCTACACCTACTAGTTTTTGTATGTGATTACGTTAGGGAAAATATCGGTGTTACTAATAGTAGTCTGTATATCTGAAATTTAACATCCTCTTGCACATACATGAAATGGACAATCAATCAACATGTCCTCAATTTCCTCTCCTTTCCCTAACAAGAAATATATAGAACCCTCTCAATTTCTTCCTTTCTCAACTATCATATACACCTCTTCATAAAAACCACCATGAAAAAACACATTTTCCACATCAAATTAATGCAAGGACCAGCTGAATAAAGTGCCAAAGCTTCAAAAGGTGCTGTCGGGCTGGGAGCTAGGCAAGTAAGCGTGAATGATTGACCTGGTTAACGTGGACGATTACAGGTGGCCCAGGACAATACACCAAGACGCAATATAGCAAAAGACCAACAGACAAAATTTTACCTCCTACGTACTTTTGGTTCTTACATTCTCTTTTTCACATGCCAACATGCAACTTGGTTTTTTTTTTTAAGAGATATTTAGTCATATACCCATTATTAGCACTATATTATAAATAAACCATACACCATTTAATTTCTATAAAAAATTCAAAAAAAACCCAAAAAAAAGACAGCTGACTCTATTAAATTTAATTTTGATTATTAAATTACTTTGATGCCTTATTGAGTATTTTGGGCTTTTTTTATAAGATTTTTGGGTTGGGTTTGTTTTAAGAAATCAATGACAATTTTGTAATTTAAAAGAAGTTAAAAGTCTTTTAGTTATATTATGGGCTTTGGGTGTGTTTCTAAAATCCATTTTATATATAATTTTTTTTTATAATTTAGGCTCCTATATTGGGTATAATAGTGAATCTCCCTTTTTTTATTGGTCAACCATGCGGATTGGTTAGATAGCCGCCAAGATCGTGAACTCTTTTTCATGCACCCAAAACTGCCTTGACGGACTGGTTACAAACAATAACTTTGATACATATATATAAGCATGAAATTCAACGCAGTGATATTATATGATTAATTTTTCCTAATTTTTTTTGAATAAGTAAGTACAAAATTTGAAAACGCCAAATTACGTTCTCATCATTTCCTGAAAACAAATCAAAATTCATCTCTACTTACTCCCATGCCTCTCTTCTCTCTCTTTAATTCCCTTCCAGTAGCCAACCAGCCCATCGTATTCTCAAATCTTAAAATTGAAAAGGATTGTATATCATATACATTACTCATTGGTTACGGATAGCCCTACAGCGACCCCATCCAGTACCACAAATATTTGCGCCCACTATAATTATACTGTGTGACACGTGATACACTCATCACTCATTACTTTATTAAGAAATTAATAAACTTCATCGCCACCACTTTAGCCAATTGATATTTTTATATATAAAACGAGAATAATGTTTTATTATCAGCTTATTTGATGTTTCGGTTATGCCACTGCCTACATAGTATTTTTGGGGGTCAATTAAATATATGGAGGTTGATCTACCAATTTGCGAAGGAGCCTCAGAACTTCACAAGTCTTAATAGAGGATCAATTGTCCTACATCCATGGCCAAAGTCAGAAGTCAACCCTGAGACCAGTCAGTCAACCCTCTCCTTCTAGAAAATTAAATCCACTTTGAAACCCAACTCAGAAAATTCAAACCCACAACTACACATGTGGCCTACCCACATTATTATTCATATTCTCCACTATAAATAATAATCAACTCTACCTTCATTCTCCATCACTCATTCCCTGCCTTAGAAACCAAAATGGCTCAAATCATTGTACCCAGCAACATATTTCTAACCCTTATCCACTCCAGGTGGCTTTTAAAATTCCAGCCCAAAAAAAATCTATAGCCCAGCCATCCAATTGAATAACCTAACCTCCCAAGGAACCCTTTGTTTGCACTGCATTGCACGTGGAGAATAAAAGGGAGAAAAGAAAAGCTGCAGCACGTCTCTAGTCTACAGCACATAGGGCGGGAAAAAAACAAGAATGCACACAGCCAGTGGAAAAAAAGAATATTTCTTAGAGTTGTCGACTTTGTTGCCAAACTCATATCGCACCCTTGCACACGTAAAGGAATGCTCTTGTTGCTATTGCACTCACCTTCAAGACTTAATTCAAGAAGCAAACTAAGCTCCTATATTTGTAAGGTACAGTAATTTTCTCTCAATTTGTTGATGTTGAAATTTGAGAATTTTTTTGGATTTTATTTAATATCAATTAAAGATTTGCAATTGAGAATTACGATTTATTTATCAATTAGGGATTTACAATTGGAGCTTATCAGTTTCAGTTTACAAGTTATGAATTATCAAATAGGATTTGTAATTGAATTTGGTGTTCTTGCTTATCCAATAGGTTATACTTTAACTTTATAATGTCACATCATCATCCAAATCCTAAGAGATCAAAGACTATTTGGGATTTTTTTAAAAGAAATAATGAAGAATCAACTAACATACGTTCCAACCCTTCTCTACCTCCTCCAATTTGTGAGGAGCAACCTCATTCTGAACCTTAAAGAGTTGAATATGAAAGTGTAAGAGCTAAGTCTCAAAGAGCCAATTTTGATCAAGAAGTTGATACAAATTCTCTTGAGCATGATCCAAGATTACGTCCTCAAATAGACACATTTCCACCTAATCAACGTGATAATGATCGAAGAGCATATATTCTCTTAGGACCATGTCAACCAAAACTATGGAATATCCATCCCACTTATAAGGGAAACAAATGTGTTGATTTAATGGTAGTTGGTATAAGCAATACCCTTGGCTTGAGTATTATGTTCATAAAGATAAAGTGTTTTGTTTTCCATGCTTTCTTTTTGATGTTGATCGCTCACATAAGGCATTCACTGTAGATGGATTTAGAAATTGGAGAAGAGTTTGTGGCAAAGATCGTGCTTTCCTTACTCATGTAGGCATTATAAATTCACCACATCATTTTGCTATCCAAAAATTGATATGGATTTAAAGAACCCGACTCACCATATTGACAGAGTTGTGCAACCCCCACAAGAAGTTGAGAAAAATAGGTTGAGGCTTGCAACCACAATAGAGGCCATTAGGTATCTAGCAAATCACGGAATGGATTTTAGAGGTGATGATGAATCTCATGACTCCTCTAATCGGGGTAATTTTATTGAGGGAATGAATGAAGAAGTTGAAAAACTTGTGTTACAAAATGCTGCTCTAAATGCCCAATATATTTCACATAAGATACAAAAGGAGATCCTAAATATCTATGCTAACAAAGTGAGGAAGAGGATACGCGATGAAATTGGGGAAGATGGGAAATTTTGTATTATTGTTGATGAAGCACTTGACAATTCTAGAAGGAACAAATGGCTATTATCATAAGGTTTGTTAGTTGTGATGCGCATATTCGAGAAAGATTTTTTGATATTGTGAGTGTTCATGACACTAATTCCTCAACTCTTAAAGTGATATTTGTAAAGTGCTTAGTAAGCATAGTCTTTTAGTAAGCAATATCCATGGTCAAGGATATGATGGTGCTAGCAATATGCGTGTTGAATGGAGTGGCTTACAAGCATTATTTCTCAATGATTCTCCATAAGCATATTATACACGTTGCTTACTCATAGCCTTCAATTAGCTTTAAATGCTGCTGTTAAAGAGGTAGGACTCTTTCGGAGATTTTTTTTAATGTTCAACATTGTGAATTTTGTTGGTGCTTCTGCCAAACGCCATTTTGAGTTAAAATTAACATGACAAGCTGAAATTGAAGACTTATTAGCAGCTGGAAGACTTGGAATAGGTAAAGCGGCTAATCAAATTCGATGTCTGCAACGACTTGGAACTACTCGTTGGGGCTCACATTTTAGTTCTATTAAAAGTTTGATTTATTTATTTGGTGCAACCAAGACACTTCTAAAGGATATCAGTCATAATGGACCTACCTCACAATTTCGTGGGGAAGCAAAAGGTATTAAAATTTCTATGTTGTCTTTTGACTTTGTCTTTGCCTTGAATTTGTTGAACAAAACTATGAGATTCACTGATTTTCTTTGTCAAGAATTTCAAAGAAAATCTCAAGACATTATAAGTGCTTTGAATTTGGTTGCAAGTACAAAAATGGAGCTTGATGAGTTGAGAAACAATGGTTGGGATGATTTTATACAGAGTGTACGATCATTTTGTGAAAAACATGAAATTAGTATGCCTGTCATACAATGGGCACTAGGCGTTCTTGTCGACAAAAATATTGTATCACAGTTGAGCATTATTATCATGTAGATGTATTTAATGAGGTAATAGATTATTAGTTCGGGGAGTTAAATACTAGATTTCCATATGAAATTGTGAAACTCCTTCGTCTTAGCTCATCATTGGATCCTCGTGATGCTTTCAAGCGATTTAACATTGATGATATATATACTCTTCCTAATAAATTTTATCCTCAAGATTTCACTAAAACTGAGTTGCACGCTTTAAATCAACAACTAGGATTTTATAAGATTAATATGGATCACAATCCAACATTCAAGAATCTTGATTCTATTCCTATATTACTTGAGCGCTTAGTGGAAACAAGATTAGCATAAACCTACTAATTGATTGACATATTGATTCATTTGGTGCTAACTCTTCCTGTTTCTACAGCAACAATAGAACGAGCATTTTCTTGTATGAGACTTATCAAAAATCGGCTTCGAAACAAGATAGGTGATGAGTTTCTTGCTGATTGTATTTTACTTCACATTCAAAGAGAATGTGCTATAGATAATGAATCGATAATTAATAATTTTAATTCTATGAAGTTTCAAAGGGTGCAACTTATATAGTGTTATTTGACAGCCCCCGGCTCCGCGACTAGGTGTATACTATTGTGTTTTCTATCTACGTAGTATATTTTTATGTGAGATAAATTTAGTCCAATCAAGGTTTGAAATCCTGGTCCGTCCTTGTACATAAGATTCTTACTGTTAAATATATGGAGGTTGATCTACCAATTTGCGAAGGAGCCTAGAATGTTTGACCTTTTTTTCCTTCATGTTTTTGAGTTACGTGTACAGTTCACACGTTATTCTTTCTATTTGAGTCTCAGAAGTCTTAACAGAGGATCAATTTTCCTACATCCATGGCCAAAGTCAAAAGTGAACCCTGAGACCAGTCAGTCAACCCTCTCCTTCTAGAAAATTAAATCCACTTTGAAACCCAACTCAGAAAATTCAAACCCACTACACATGTGGCCTACCCACATTATTATTCATATTCTCCACTATAAATAATAATCAACTCTACCTTCATTCTCCATCACTCATTCCCTGCCTTAGAAACCAAAAATGGCTCAAATCATTGTACCCAGCAACATATTTCTAACCCTTATTATTGTAGCTGCAGCTGTAGCTGGGTATGTGGAGGCACAAAGCCCAAGCACTAGCGAAGTGTCGGTGGCTGATATCGTCACGCCCGAATTCTTCAACGGCATAATTGGCCAGGCCGATGCAAGCTGTGCCGGCAAGAACTTTTATTCCCGAGCTACCTTTCTTGAGGCTCTCAAGTCTTATGATCAGTTCGGTAAGATTGGCTCCATTGACGACTCTAAGCGTGAGATTGCTGCCTTCTTTGCCCATGTCACCCATGAGACTGGACGTAAGTTCTTTATTCTCTCATCAATTATTTCTTCCACTTTATTCATTATTTTACATGTAATTGTAAAATAAAAAAACTATGTGTACCGTACATATGTTTATACAAGTTGATCTCACCACCGTAAGATCAACTTCCTAACACAATATGTCAATGTCGTATGATAAAATAGCGCTATCATTTTTGTACTTCCATCAATGACAAACTTTTCTTGGTCATTGCTTTACACATGCCACTTTTAAAGCCGTTGTATATTTAGTGTAGACACGAGTTTAATTTATTTGTATCAAGTTAACTGACGCTACTATCTCTCCAATAATAGAAGTAGAAAATAGATATTTTGTTTTCTTTCTAGTTTAAAATTTTCAATTTTTTTTATTGGTTTTTTTTTTAAATGGGGGCAACGAGGATGAGGAATCCACAATTTGAATATTATGGGTATGGAGGCGGGAATGGGGGAAAAAATTAAAGGGAAATGGAGATAGTAATGGTGTACCCCGGCCTAATTTGCTCCATTAATTGTCACCCCTAGTAGAAACTCTACAAAGTTACATCCCTTGTAGATGAGTGTTACTTCTATTAGAAACTACAAAGTTACATCCCTTTTTCTATAAATAGATATTTAAGCCATTAATATGAGGTTGATTAAATTGTGCTGTTTTACATATAACCCAAAAACGCAATTACCAAAGGATCCCAAAAATTGAAGACAAAATGATGTGTGATTGTGCAGATTTCTGCTACATAGAAGAGATAGATGGACCCTCAAAGGACTACTGTGATGAGAGCAACACACAATATCCATGCAAGCCAAACAAGGGCTACTACGGGCGTGGACCAATCCAACTATCATGGAACCCCAACTACGGCCGAGCCGGAGAGAGCATTGGCTTCGACGGATTAAACTCTCCTGAAACCGTTGCCAATGACCCCATCATCTCCTTCAAGACGGCATTGTGGTATTGGATGAACAGCGTCCGACCTGTCATCGGAGAAGGTTTTGGCGCAACAATACGAGCCATTAATGGTGCCCTTGAATGTGATGGTGGAAACCCTGCTACTGTTCAGAAACGTGTTAAGTATTTCACTGAATATTGTAACCAACTTGGTATTGCTCCCGGGGACAATCTCACTTGCTAGGAGACATCTCAGTTTACTCGCTGAGCTAGAAACATTCATCTCAGTTTAATGATAAATGTATACCCACATAAAACATTAATGAAATACCAGGAGATTATTCATCCAGAAAAAAAAACATCGTAGAGGTATTACAAACCCAAAAAAATTGAAAACGACAACATGATTTTAGGGGAGCTAAGCCAAACTTCATCGGTGAAATTGCCATTTAATCGTCACACATTCGAACAAGCGTGCAAGGGCGCACCAAAGAATTGCAGAGTACACAATTGCCGTCACACTTTTCACACAACCCTCCGATGGCTATTCCGGGTTGCTTCCAACACATAATTAGGTCAGGATACTCAAATTAATTAGGGTTTAAACTGATATGTTTATTCTTCTCTCAATGAGGAATATATATACTACATACATAGTGGGTACAAATAGGAAATATGTGCAAAATCTCATAATTCTACTCAAATTAGATAATTACAATAAAATATAAATTCTATTTCTAATAGGAATGTTGACTCACGCCAACACTCCCCCTCAAGTTGGTGCATAAATATCGGTAATGCCCAACTTGTTAAGTGAGTCTTCAAATCGGCGCTTTGACACGGCATGGGCCAACATATCTGCAAGCTGCTCTAAAGAAGGCACAAAATGTATAGAAATTAACTTATGCTCCAGCTTCTCCTTAATGAAATGCCGATGAACTTCTACATGCTTAGTTCGATCATATTGCACCGGATTGTTAGCAATTTCAAATGCAGACTGATTATCACAATAGAGCTTTGTAGTAGCATTCGGTCTAAACCTAATTTCAGCAAGTAACCACCTCAACCACAAAATTTCACAAACCCCTTGGGCAATCCCTCTGTACTCAACCTTTGCAGAGGACCGAGACACAACGTTTTTCTTCTTGCTACACCACATAACTAGGTTACCACTAACAAAGGTGAAGTAACCTGATGTAGAACATCTATCTGTAATATTCCCTGCATAATCTGCGTCAGTGTAACCTTCTAGATCCAAGTGGCCATTTGTCTTAAATAATAAACCTCTCCCAGGAGCAGACTTTAAGTAACTCAGAATATGCATCACAGTAGTCATATGGTCCTCACTAGGTGAATGCATAAATTGGCTAGCAACGCTTACCGCATAGGCAATATCAAGGCGTGTCAATGATAAATAAATCAATCTTCCAACTAACCTTTGGTATCATTCTTTGTTAGTTGGAACCTGATCCACATAAACACCAAGTTTATGATTCTCAACAATAGGTGTATCAGCTGGTTTACAGTCAGCATTCCAGTATCTGCTAGCAGGTCCATGACATACTTCCTTTGTGAAAGAAATAAGCCATGTTTAGATCGAGTGACTTCCACTCCTAGAAAATATTTCAGACTGCCCAAATCTTTCATATCAAATTCTGATGCTAAACGCTTCTGCAGTTTCTCGATTTCTACAGTATCATCACCAGTCACAATCATATCATCAACATAAATAATCAACAAAGTTACCTTACTAGCCCTATGTTTAATGAATAGAGTATGATCAGTATTGGCCTGTTGGTAACCAAACTTCTTCATAGCTGTAGTAAATCTGCCAAACCATGCCCGAGGAGACTGCTTTAACCCATACAATGCCTTTTTTAATTTGCATACGTTCCCCGTGCCACCGGTAACGTTATACCCTAGTGGAAGACTCGTGTACACTTCTTCTTCTAGTTCACCATGTAAGAATGCATTTTTTACATCAAATTGCCTCAGGGTCCAATCCAAGTTTACTGCTAAGGACAACAAAACTGACAGTATTCATCTTAGCCACAGGTGCAAAAGTATCATGATAATCAACTCCATATGTCTGAGTGAACCCTTTAGCTACTAATCTTGCCTTGTACCTCTCCATAGTACCATCTGCATTACATTTAACTGTAAACACCCATCTGCATTCTACAGGCTTCATTCCCTTTGGTAGATCAATAATGTCTCATGTATTATTTTTCTATAGCGCCTCCATTCCAATATTCATGGCTTCAGCCCACTTTGGATCATTAAATGCCTCCTCAACACGGGTTGGAATTTTAATACTATCCATTCTGGTCACAAAAGCTTTGCACTCAGGAGATAACCTGTGATCAGACACATAATGGGCAATAGCATATCTTGCTTTGCCTTCGAGTAAGTAACGATTAGGTGGAACCCCACGGTTCCTTCTAGGCGATAAAACATAAGAATTATCAGCAGTATGAATAGAAGCACTTACCTCAGGAATATCCATGGGAGCTTGATCGGGTACAATTAGAGAAGCTTCATGGGGGGCATCAGTTAAAATAGTAGGTTCAGCTGGTGTAGCAGGTTCAGCTAGTGTAGTAGGTTTGGCCGGTGTATCAAGTTCAGCCGGTTCAACAAGTTTTGTCGGTTCTTCCCTTTGTATCAAACTATCCAATACTACTCCCCCTTGTAAATTTAGCCAATTATGTCCTTCACTACTAGTCTCCCCCTGAATGACATGCTTGGGTGTATCAGAGAAAAACATTTCATCCTTAATAAAGGTAACATCCATAGAGACATATAGACATCGGGTTGCAGGATGATAGCATCGGTAGCCTTTCTGATGAGGAGAAAAACCTAGAAAGACACAGCGGAGAGCACAGGGGTCCAGCTTACTCCTCTGATTCTGATGGAGGAGAACATAGGTGACACAACCAAACACCTTTGGAGACAGAGTCAGCATAAAAAAGGCAGAGATATGATGGGTCAGTACCTGCATAGGAGTTTGGAAATCCAAAACTCGTGAAGGTAGGCGATTGAAGAGATAGACTGCATAGGTAACATCATCCATCCAGAACTGGTTTGGAACTGAAGCACCAAGTAGCAGAGCAAGGGCAGCAGCAAGGATCTGCCCATTTTTACGTTCAGCAACCCCATTCTGTTGTGGTGTTTGAGGACAAGTAGTCTCATGGAGTACACCCTTAGTGTGGAAAAAAATGGGATAACACAGAATTAACAAATTCTCCACCATTATCAGATCGAAAAACCTTGATAGGGAGCATAAATTGAGTTTGAATCATCTGATAGAAACGCTGAAAATTTTTGACCACCTCACTTTTCTTTTTCATCCCATATAACCACATCATACGAGTGCAATCATCCACAAATAACACAAACCAACGAACTCTCAAGGCTGTAGAAATAGGAGAAGGTCCCCAAACATCAGAATGAACTAAAACAAATGGCATAAGCCGTTTATTACAACTTGGAGGGTAGGAGACCCGATGACTCTTAGCTAAAATACAAGTCTGGCATTGGAAAGCAGACTTGTTTACACCACTAAATAATGCAGGAAACAAATGTTGTAAATATCCAAAGGAGGCATGACCAAATCGGCAATGTAGCAACCAAATCCGGTAATGCTGAGAAGTTTCGGCACTACCATCACGAAGAACCCGACTAGTTGCCACATCATCCACATAATAAAGCCCCCCCTTTTTAGTACCACGACCAAAGATCTCCCGAGTTTGGATATCCTGTAGTAAGACAAAAGGTGGATAAATCAGTACAACACAGTTTAACTGCTCAGTAACTTGCGGTACAGATAATAAATTACTAGACAAAGATGGAACCAGTAACACTTTGTCCAATGGTAAAGCAGGTGTCAAGAGTATAAAACCAACCTCCGTGACAGGAGCATCAGCATTATCAGCAGTCAAAACATGATCATGATGAGGTGGAAAAGTAGTAGAGAATAAAGCAGAATTATACGTCATATGGTCAGTAGCTCCTGAATCAATAATCCAACCTGTATTGCGTGTGTCATGGGCATGGAAAGCCTTGCCAAAGTTACTTGGAGGTGGAGGTGTTGGAGTGCTTGAGACCGCGGTCAAGGTTGGAGGAGGCGTAGCAGTAAGGTGACCGTGCCCAGTGGTGGTGTCAGCCATAGAAGTGGGGGCAACAACCACAAGAGCTTTGCCGTTTAGTTGTTCCTTCTTTAAACGCCTCCGCTCCTTCTCCCAATCTGGTACCCCATGCAATGCCCAGCAGGTGTCGATAGTATGTCTCTTTTCACCAAAGTGATCACACTTTAGTTTGTCTTTTTCTATAGAAGTCAGGCGACGAGGCAGAACAGCAAAAGAGCCAGACCTTGTAGGCCGAGAAACCAAAGCAGTGTTTTTGGAAGCAAACACAACAGCAGGTTCCCCAATCTTGGTGCCGGATCCAAGCATAGTAATCTGGCGTTGAGCCTCTCGACGGACCATAAAAAATACATTTTAGATGCTTGGAACTTTATCACTCCATAGAATATCACTGCGAACCTTGTCGTAAGTATTGTCAAGGCCAGCCAAAAAATCATACACACGATCTGCCATAACAACAGCTTGAAAAGTCATCATATCATCAGGACACTTCATCTGAAAAAGACGTCTCTTGTCCAAATCAAGCCAGATTTCCTTAAGTTCGGCAAAATAGGTAGAGAAATGACGACCCTCTTGCTTGAGACGGGTAGCCTGGCACCGTAGTTCATAGAGTTGGGATATGTCAGAGCCATCATGAAACATCTGATTAACAGCATCCCAAAATTCCTTAGCAATAGGTAAGAGTATGAAACATATTCAACAAACTGGGTTCCATAGTTCGTAGCATCCAACTTTTCACAACAGCATCAAGAATTTTTCACTTCCCATATTTTGGGTCTTGGGAATCAGGGGCATCAGTGTCACTAGTCAGGTAACCCAATTTGCCTTGTGTAGTAGCATGGAGTTCGATCATCGAAGCCGATATCTCATAGTTGAATCCATTCAATTTGAATCCCATAGGTAGATTGGTAGACAATTCGGTATGAACCATCACAATAGGAGTAGAAGAAGAAGATTCAATGACATCTGACATGGTGATAGATGGCGGCGGCAGCAGAAGATTAGATGACGATGACAGTAAGAGATATAAGACGGAACAGGCTTAGGTGTATAGGCTAGGTGCAACGGAAATAGGTATTTTTCAGGATTAGGGTTTTGATGTTGTAGAGACGGATCAGAACTCACTCTGATACCAACTCAAAATAATTAGGGTTTAAACTGATATGTTTATTCTTTTGTCAATGAGAAATATATATACTATATACAGAGTGGGTACAAATAGGAAATATGTACAAAATTTCCTAATTCTACTCAAATTAGATACTTACAATAAAATATAAATTATATTCCTAATAGGAACAAATTCTATTCCTAATAGGAACGTTGACTCACGCCAACAAGGATTATGCTTAGCCATCTTTCTAGTTATGCCACCGCATTACTACATAGGCCAATATGTCTTATATATTGGTAAAGTGAAGACTAGTGTGACAAATGAGAAGGGGCTTCTGGTGCTTACTTGCTGACCAAGGACAACCACATTCAAAACTCTACATTATTTAAGTTGAAAAATGTGAGATACTTATTGGTTTTCGTGCGAGACAAGGGACAAGGACAATGAGTTCATTTTCTGAATTGAATAAAGTAGCAGTGTCCATATGCCCTTGAGATTAAGTTAAAAAAGGAAGGGGAAAGGTGATGACTGTTGGCGTGAATCACTGAATCATAATAGAAATTATATACAATTACCTTTATTATAATTGATTGTAATTATGGGAATACCGGTTTGACCGGAATTGTATTTATTTCCTTTTTCCTTATTGTAATTACTTCCTAGATAGGCTTGTATTTGTATCACTATAAATACCTCATTGTGAGAAGAATAGAAATATACTGAATTATACATAACCCTAAATTCTATTTGAGTTGGTATTAGGGCAGTGATCCTAGGATCTTGCTCCTGCTACTATCCTTGCTCTATATCCCTTAACATTGTCATTGCACCTTGCCTTGCCGCCACATCTTGCCTTGCAGCCGTATCTTGCTGCCTTTACCTATTGTCTTCTCTTTGCCGCTACCGTTGTACCGTGCTGCTGCCGCTGCCGCTATATCCTACTAGCGCACCCTGCTACCCTATTTTTTCTACCCTTCTGCCACTATTGCTGCCGTACCCTGCATCCCTAATTTTTTCTGCCATTGCCGCAATTTGCTGCACTTAATTCACCTCTATGGCTCTCCTTGCTATTGATTCTAAAAAGGATCATGGTTGGATTCTTGACTCTGGAGCTACTAATCATATGATGTTTGATGCGTCTCTTCTTCACCATCATCGTTCTCCTTGCTCTACTGTTGCTAATGCTAATGGTGTGCCTTCTCCAGTTACTAGTGCTGGAAGTGTTGATTTAACTCCCTCTCTGACATTGGAACATACTTTATTGGTTCCTGCGCTCTCTAATAATTTGTTATCTATTCCGTAAATAACAAAACAATTAAATTATTTAGTATTGATCTATCCTAGTTTGTCTTCTTCAGGATCTCAGCAGCGGGGAGATTATTGGGCGTTGTACTAAAAGAGGGGGCTTATATTATGTGGATGATGTGTGTGCAAGCAAATCTCTATCTATCAGGGGTTCGAACCGTGCATTTGAGGATCAAGTGTTGTTATGGCATCTTCGTTTGGGTCATGCTTCATTTGGCTATTTAGAGCACTTGTTTCCTTCTTTATTTTCAGGTCGTAAACCTTCGGATTTTAAGTGTGACACTTGCATTTTGCCCAAAAGTCACCGTGCAACTTATCCTATTAGTTCTACTAAAAGATTTGTGCCTTTTGTCTTGGTACATTCTGATGTCTGGCTTCCGTTGGTTTGTTATTTTTGTGGATGATTGCATTCGTATGACATGGTTGTACTTGATGAAAAATAAGAGATGTTTCTGAGTGCTTTCAGATATTTCACAAGATGATTAAAACTCAGTTTTTGCTACTTTAAAGGTGCTTCGTAACATGGAATTCTTCATGAGACTACTTGTCCTTACACACCTCAACAGAATGGTGTGGCTGAAAGGAAGAATAGACAACTTCTTGAAATTACTCGTGCTAGTATTATTGGCACTCACATGCCACCACAGTTATGGGAAGAAGCGATTACCTCTGTAGTACACCTTCTTAATCGTGTTCCTACCAGTGTCTTGCAGTTTAAGACGCCCTTGGCTAAATTGGAGGCTTATGTTTATATTCCCTCTCATCTCACTCTTCAAACTCATGTTTTTGGGTGCGTTGCCTTTGTGCACTTGCAAAAATACCAAAGCACGAAATTGGATCCTTGTGCATTGAAGTGTGTTTTTATTGGTTATCACCCTCAACAGAAGGGTTATCGGTGCTTTCACCCACCTACTCGTCGTTTTTATGTTACTATGGATGTTACATTTTTTGAGCATGAGATGTATTTTGCTCACCCAATATCCCCTTCTCCTTTTTTGGGGGAGAGTAGTGTTGAAGAGTTGAAGTGGATGGAGATATTTCCAGATAACATTGAGGTTAATTGGCTAGCAATGTGTGATGTAGCAACTAGCATAGAACACGCATGTACAACACTAACCAGTACTGTTTTCCTGTAGTTGAACCAGTCGGCGCTACCCTTCCAACAACTGAACCAGTCCGCGCTACCCTTCCGACAACTGAACCAGTCGGTGCCGCCCTACCAGCAGCTGAACCAATTAGTGTCACTCGTAAGGCAATTGAACCAATCACCGCCGCCCCACTCTCTACTACTTCTCTAGTACCCTATCTCAATTCTCCTCAGGTTGATGATTATGAGGTAGATTCTAAACCTTTGATTAATACTAACAATGATTGTGAATCTACTGAGAATAGTGTGTATCAGTTACCACCAAGGAGCAATTGTGGGAAACCGCCAGATAGATATTCACCAGAACCTGCGAAGAAGGGGAAGTATCCTATTGCTAATTATATGTCTACTCATAGATTATCTGAAGCTTGTGAGGCATTTGTAAATCAAATGTCTATGGTGGTTATTCTTACTATAGTGCATGATGCATTATCTGATTTAAAATAGACTAGTGCTATGACAGAAGAGATGCAAGCTCTCGAGAAAAATCAAACATGGGAGTTAGTGTTGTTGCCAGAAGGGAAGAAACCGGTTGGTTGTGGATGAGTTTATACTATTAAACATAAACCTGATGGTTCTATTAACAGGTATAAAGCTAGACTTGTGGCTAGAGGTTTTACTCAGACTTATGGTATTGATTATCAAGAGGCATTTGTAACAGTAGCTAAGATTAATACTATTCAGGTCTTATTATCATTAGTTGCAAATTTTGACTGGCCATTGCAACAGTATGATGTGAAAAATGTCTTCTTACATGGAGATTTACAGGAGGAAGTCTACATGTCCTTGCCCCTAGGTTACAGTGCTCCTGGTAATGCTGATGTTGTGTGTAAATTGAAGAAGGCGTTGTATGGATTGAAGCAGTCTCCGAGAGCTTGGTTTGGTAAATTTCATCTTGCTATGAAAAAATATGGATATGAGCAGAGCAATGCTGATCATACTTTATTTCTTAAGAGGCATAGTGGTAAGTTAACAACTCTTATTATTTATGTGGATGATATGATTATGATTGGTGATCATCTTGATGAAATTGGCAAACTAAAGGGCTATTTAGCCTCTAAATTTGATATGAAGGATCTTGGTGGATTAAAATATTTTTTGGGCATTGAAGTGACTCGTTTTGCATAGGGAATTTTCTTGTCACAGAGAAAATATGCTCTTGATTTGTTAAAGGAAATAGGTATGCTTGGATGTGAGCCCATTGGTACTCCTATTGAACAAAACCATGGTTTGGAAATTGTCCAGATCAAGTTCCGACTGATAAGGGACAATATCAAAGATTGGTTGGTCGTTTGATTTATTTGTCTCACACTAGACCTGATATTGCATATGCAGTACGCGTTGTAAGTAGATTCATGCATAATCCAAGTGTGCGACATATGGATGCGGTAGTACGAATTTTAAGGTACTTGAAATCTACACCAGGAAAGGGTCGGATGTTTTCCAACCATGGGCATGTAGACGTTATGAGGTATACAGATTCAGATTGGGCAGCAAAGGGGGATAGAATGAGATCTACATCTAGTTATTTTACATTTGTAGTATAGCAAGAAGGAAGTTCGCTGGATAATAGTTTTAAGTTTGAGGAACGAGGGTTAAGAAACTGGGGAAGAACAGTATGAACATTCGAAGAAAATGAACTCAAAAAATCTTGGGAGCGTGAAGGAAAATGTGAAGGAGTTTGGGTTTTATACTGGCGCTGGAGTTCAAAACAGAGGATCTCAAAAGATGAAACGGCCTGAC